CTGAAATGAAGGTGGGTCTGATGACTTGATGAAAATAGCAGGGAAAGACTGGCAGGCTATTGGCAAAGATAGAGACGTCTGGATAGGGTTGGAGAAGGCTTTTACCCAAGAGGGGTCCTTATAATATATAATACTAATAATATTTGAAATGGAACTTAGGATATGGAAATAAAAAATAATTAATAATATTTGTATGAAAATTATTCAGCCTCGATGACGCGTCTAATTTCTATAAATTCAAAATCATTTATTCATTTAGGTAACACAATGTACACTTATGAACGTCAATAGAGAAATACATATTAAATGCTTCTAATATTACATTTACTGCCAGTTCTCAAATCAAGGGCGTTGAACGGACGAGAAGAACTGGCAATAAATTCTGCGCCACTCTTTTTAATCGCAATGTTTTTTTGTAAGGAGCTGCAACCATTACACCACGTTCCACATGAAAACTTTAAGTTATTAATAGTTCATTATATAATAATAATAATAATAAACATATAGATCATGCTCAGGTAAAATTCTTCGTTAAAAATGACTTAATTAATATCACGTAAAATTTGGTTATTGTTAGCAAAGCCGGTCATAAAACTATTGTATGCAAAAATTTAATACAAAAGGTTTAGCTTTTACTGCTATAAAACAATTTACGAAGGGTGTAAAATCTTTTAGAAAGTCGCTAAGCCGATTTTGGGTTTACAAGGCACTTCCTAGAAGTCGGTACAATGTGATGCGTGGTGTTTTTTAAATTTTTGTTGCTAATTTAGTATTTAATAGCTAAAGAATAATTATAAACAATTAAAGAAACAGTATGTATATGGCAGAGAGGAATGGCGTGATATGGAGAAGGCCTTAGGGAGCGTTCAAGTAGTACGTAACGAATTGGGGGGGGGTCGTCATTTTGTAAAACGTTACGATACGGTGTAAAGAGTCACTGGGTGGTCACGAAACGTTTTACTATTGGGTACAGAAAAACGTTACAGCGCGTTAACCCCCCCCCTGGGGGGGGTCAATAATCTCCAAAAATTGCGTGACGTAATACTTGAACGCTCCCTAATTCATATTTGAAGTTACCTCTCAAAAGAAGTGAATGTACAATCAAAATTTTAGGGGTTATTAGTTGGTATTTAGAGGTATTTCATGTTGGTCCTAGGGGGAATATTTTGTAGGAGTTGACATCACTGACAGCAGCGTACGGTCGGCAACTATCGTACAGTCCATGGACACTCGTTTAGTATTTAATTAATTAAATTTGTTAGCCAAACAAGGGCACATAGATACCTAAAAAGGGTACGTGTACTTATGTACGAGCGTAAAAAGTTATACTTCTTTGGCATTATTAAAAATAGTTTTTAAATAATAATTTAATGTAAGAGAATAATAAATATTAATTATTATTCTCTTACATTAAGTGTAACATAAATTCTATTATTATTCGATAATAGAATTTAGAATTTCATTCTCATCAATTTTTCATAACGCGCCTAAAGAAGTATAACTTCAAAAAAAGCCTGTATAAATGTAAAATTATCTGAATTAAAATTCGATTATTATTATTATTAGGATTTATGTAAATTTAACATGATTGGTTAATTTAAATGTTTTATTTATTTACAGCTTATGCGTGGCCAAAGTTTAAGTAAAAATATTATGTAACTGTTACGCAAACGTGATTTTTATGTAATTACCAGAAATCCTTCTCCTATCCACTATACTATAACTTTACAATAATTTAGGTTTTTACTTTTACAATTAAGTCAAATATTGATGATAACACTTGGTCTTCACAACTATCTATTGCCAGGCTTTCTCTATCTTTAATATTATTGTTTTAGATATTATTATAAGAGTACTTTTTGAATAAGCGTATGTCAACCCTCTAGGGGGGGATCAAGATGTCCTGCGGAGTTTTTATGGCGTAATTTATATTTCTTTTCCTTAAAAAAGACGAACGATTCATTTTAATTTATCGAAATTGTGTACCTACTACTTGAATTTTTGATGTATTTTTAAAGTTAACTCTCAAAGCGAGGGTACAACAAAATTGTAGGGGTTTTAATCGATATTTAGGGGCATTTGAAGTTGGTTCTAAGAACATTCTGAATTTGCATCTCTAGAATAGGCTGATCTATATTGACTCTATGTTCATGCGCACGCAACAACCCGTCGTAGGGCGAATGACAATTTTACCTTGTAATGCTGAACGCGCGGCGTTTTTTGGCTCATAGCCAGACATTTCGTCTGTCACCGTTACATTTACTTCTTTTTATGGATATTTATTCATCTGTGGACGTATTTAAGAAAAATGTATGTACAATTTTTGTTGGTTGATGTCTGTGTCTAATGGTTAATGTCCAAGGGCAAGAGGTACATTCAAAGTGGAATAATGTGTGATATACTTAACTTGCCATAGAGTCCTATTTCCCCTAACTGGGGCAAGGGGTTTCAAGCGTAGAAAACCAGCCTGAACAGTCCTGGGTAGTTGTGATAATTCTAAATCAATAATGTGCAATTCAATAATGTCTGAATTAAATTATTATTAACGACATTATCAGTTTCGGTTAAGTCAACCACAGATAATAGAGTAGATTTTTTTAAATGTATAAATTAATAGGCCGTTGCATAGTTGTGTACACGAAATGTTGTTGCGATAAGCGGTGTAGCAACAAAATTAAAAATAAACTAGTAAACTATACCGGTTTTACGGATTTTTCCAGGCGCCAAAACTGAATAAAATTAAAAAGAGCATAAAGGCCAGCAACGCACCCACAGACATGGGTGTCCATGGGCTGCGGAAGCTGCCTTTTATTTGGTGTTCTGTAGACTCGTTTGCCTCCCTATCATATTAAATAAATATTAACAAAAACCCCAAGTGCTATTATAAAATTGTATATGAAAAGTATTAGTTTAGTGCGCATGAGTGTTTACTTAAGCAATTATATAACGACATATTTTACTAATGTATAACACTATTCAAAATCATAGTAGAGCCACTGGTTGTAGCTTCTATGAATGAGATCTACTAAGTATGACTTTTGCATGTCAAAAACGTATCCGAAATTTACGATGTGACTTACAAGTATTCTTATGTACAGACAAATTCCAGTTACATTTTTATAATATAGAAGATAATGCGCTGGCGCAACTATTTAACTGATTAGCTGGACCTTGGATCGATAAGGAGGCATCGATCTGCTAATATCGTATCGTCTTCGTTGCTCACACGGGCCTATGTACCTACTGGTTATATTCTTTTCAGTTCATGAAGTGCAAGAGGTGCTGGGTACTGAGCACCCACCAGAAAGCCTGTCGAAAAGCTTGGAGATATGGATTTTATATATATAACGTTGTAATTTAATAGTATTTTTTTCGCCAAAAAGCAAAGCCTTATTAACATATGACATTCTTTATTATAATTTTTTTTACCTTCACTCAAAATACTATATGTAACATACTAATACGTTTATTATACCATGTGTATATTATTTGAAGGTTAGGGCTAGGGCTAACCAAAAATCATATTAATTGATTGCTGGTAGCGCCATCAATGTGTCAGCCTACGAACTTCTCAGCCCACTCAATATATCAACACATGGTGTAGTACAAAAATTATTATTTAAATATATAAAGTACAAAATTTGAATAATATTATAATTTTTTCAAAGTAGATATGTAATCGAGAGCAGTGTTGGCCTAGTGGTTTCAGCGTGCGACTCTCGACCCTGAGGTCGTGGCTTCGATCCCTGGCTGTGTACGCCGTGTGTCAGGCACAGTAGGCTGATCACCTACTAGATTATTTGACAAATGATCATGAAACAGATTCGAAATCTGAGGCCAAGACCTAAAAAGGTTGTAGCGCTAAATATACTTCGAAAGCCTTTGACCTTGTTGGAACTATCCAAGGTTCTCTCAGACAGCAGAGATGAGGAACTCATTTTTGTTTTTGATATTTTAACTGTTATCAACACCCCTGAGTGCACGAGTGGTGCACAACTGCACATGCGTGAGTGAGTGAATGAATAAAGTGTGTAACTACATACTAGGTCTAAGAAGCATCTCTAACACTCCGTAAGGTGTGTTCATAAGCCAGTCCATACCAGTACCTCGTCGCCGTATCTAATAAAATCATCTTTAGTTGATGTCATTGACCAATGCTACAAAAAGTGCTAGTTTTTGACGTCTCGTGGGTGTTTCGTCCCGCCTATGGCCGGTAAATCGGCGATTATTTATAACTGATATCGTCGCTGTAGAATGATAACCTCGTATGTCAAAAAACCATTTATTTTTTATTCTTAAACTTATATGTCATTTAACTGGTATAATCATAAAGTAAGGATTTATTTATGTTATAAATAAATAAGTCCTTTTCACCATCCAATAGTATGGACAAAAACACTTAATTTTAACGAACATTGAAGAAATTAATTATTTTTAGTTTTTTTGTTTGGTTCTCTGGACATACGAGGTTATCATTCTACAGCGACGATATATAACCTGTAAGGTCTATTTTAACGTCTTGCATAGTTTACACTGTCATCGACATATTTTAAAATAAATATTTATATTTATTGCCAACGTACAATCAGTATTTACAATATTCTTAACCTATATAGTAATAATAGTAATTGATAAATAGAAAATTAACTCGAATTTAAAAAGTTTGGTCCGTGTGACCTTTAATTCAAGAATTTCGTTGAACGATGAAAGCAGAATGTAGTATTAATTCTACGTTTCAATTAACTTGAACCAGAAATATTCTTGCAAATTAGTTAACATTGGTATACGCTTTGTTTTCGTATCTGTACGCGTACACACTCAAAACTTGCCCTGAACCGTGCCAAGATACTAATATTCAGAATATAAAGTCTTTTCGTGGCCATTACGCATAAAAACAGAAGTTTTTTTGTATAATTGCGCAATCGTGTAAAAACAGCTATCGGCTGGGTGATGATATAATACTTTAAAGTTAGACGCTTGTCGCCGTATGATTTTTCATAATGGCCCCTGAAGTGAGAAACTATTCTGCGATATTTCAAGTGGTATGTGGTGTTCTCTGTCGATCCAACGGTTTCTGGTACGGATCACGGAGTTGGAGACTCTTAGTATTGTGTTAGTACTTATTTTTTGACATACAGAATTCAGACTTAACTTTTTGATTATTCCTTTGAATTTGTAATTTGTTTTTGTGTGTAAATAAATATTGTTATAAAGAAAATAGGCTAACTATAGGCCTTATATAATGTCATATAATGATATTTGCTATGACAAAGCAACAGTAATAGGCGGGTATGAAAGTATGTTTATTAAAAAACATCAGTTAAAATCTCAGTCAGTATAGAATCGCGATCATACACTCCCACCACAGGTATTCCACAAGGTTCTTATCTGGGTCCTGTCCTATTTACTCTTTTTGTAAATGATATATTATGTTCGTTGTGTGTCATTAATGTGTGTGTTTTAAATTTGTAATTTGTTTTTGTGTTTAAATAAATATGTTTATAAAGAAGATAGGCTAACTACAGGCCTTATATAATTTCAAATAATTATATTTGCTATGACAAAAGTACATCAAAGGACGCATTCTATCACCCTTCGCAATTTTGTTCGAGGGTTGACGGCCAAGGGCGTTGTTGGGGTGTACAAGCGTGGATTAAATTACATTTTTGGCAGTTTCGTTTGCTAATATTGAACGTGAAACGAGGAGAACTTTATCAAACTAAGTCTCATTACGCATAAATAAAACATCCTTTGACGGCAGTAGTAGCGTTTAGTGTGCAGTATATAAGAGTTATGTTCTGTTTGAACATATAAATGTATAATAATAATAAAAATTTATTTATTGCAAGAATATGGTACAAAAATGTGTAAGGTGGTAGGTACAATCGTAAGTTCGCATATTTTGCCACACAATGGCGCGCAAATTTGTCTTAAGGAATGTTATATTTCACATTATTAGTCAAAGTCAATTCTTATAGATATCTGTATCATACTTTATTAAATTTATATTAATTACAGTGTCTCTACTACATTCTACACTTGACGTTTGGATTTCTTTTAAATAGTGGTCAGAGTGAAAAGCACTCGAAAAGTCGATTACTATTTTATAGAACAGAGGGCAAACGGGAGGAGGCTCACATGTTGAGTCATATATGGACACTATCAATGCGAGTCGGCTCGCGAGTGCGTTGCAAGTCTTTTAAAACTGATGATTGAGAAGGATAAAGATAAGGGAATGCGGTTTTGTAAGGAGCCCTAGAGTTCTATTTACGCTAGAACAGCAGCTGACCCGGCAAACGTTGTTTTGCCATGTATGTTATATCTAGGAGACATTTTTTTAGTTCAATAAAAATAACTATTTACTGTAATAAAAAACAGGGGTTGATCGTAGAGGGGTAAAAATAAAGGGTTGTGTGTACTTTTGTATGCTGTATCTTAAAAAAATAGTATCCTATTCTCAGACTTACTGTACATGCATAAAAATTTCATAAGAATCAGTCGAACCGTTTCGGAGGAGTATGGGAATGAACATTGTGACACGAGAATTATATATAAATTTCAAATTCAAATTCGAAAATCATTTATTCACGTAGGTAACACAATGTACACTTGTGATTCGTCATTAAAGAAATAAATATTAATGCTTCTAATTTTACATTTACTGCCAGTTCTCAAATCAAGGGCGTAGAACGGAAGAGAAGAACTGGCAATAAACTCTCCGCCACTCTTTTTAATCGCCATGTTTTTTTTTTACAACGTTTGTAAGGAGCTGCAACCATTACACCATGTTCCACATGACATTTTAAGTAATTAATAATAATAACATAAATAAAAACAAAGACTTGTCCTCTATCAGCAGGAGGCATGGTGAAATAGGAGCACGCACTTACATTCTCGTGGGAACAACACGCAAACACATAGTCGAAATAATTAACATTGCCGCATACACGAATTCAAGTACGACCAGTCACCACAAGTAGCACCCGTTCACGAGTATGACGCATGGCCAGCCATCGGCCCCCTCGCCATATTTTAGGGAGAGAGACAACCCGACGCATGGACGCCGCCACAAGCAATGACATTTAAGCGAGCATGACGATCCTTGAAATGTGGACTTGGCTACATAAGAAAATAATAATAATACTGAAATAATTGGATACTACATGGATCACGGTTTGTTCCCACTTTACATTAAAACAGTCGTGGATGTTGACGTTGACGATCGCCCCTTATATATATATATATATAGATAGTAAAGCCACAGGTTATGAAAGGTCAAGTCTTGACTTGGAGTCTAGTGTAGTATGTCTTGTCCTGGAAAGGTCTTAGGGCAAAAACGTATGATGCGGACCAGATAACAGCGTCACCGATCGTATGTCTGGGCTCTTGTAATGTCTAACCCCGAGGGCCTTAAGAGAGCCTTTTGCTTAACCAAGTTGGTAGTAAGCTCTTTTTAATAGTTCTATTTTCTAGAGTATTGAACTAAATGGACAAGTTAGTCCACAACCAACGAGAATGCATGGTGAATGTCAAATGGATGAAGACAGAGAGTTATGTTAGGGCCGTAGCAGGTTGAGCTCCGTGATCTCTGCCTACCCCGGGGAAATTAATGATGATATAAATAAATGTAATTCACCCCATAAAAGGTGGATAGAAGAAATAGAAGCGTTAGCAGGAAACGAATGGAGAAAGCTGTAGGAGGCCTTTAGGGAGCGTTCAAGTATTTGTGGGGGGGGGTTGTTTACCTTTTGTAAAACGTTACGTTACGATGCGATTATTTTCGACTTTCCAGTACTTTACACCACATAATGGTAACTTTTAGGTATAGAGTCACTAGCTGGTCACGAAACGTTTTTACTATACTTGGGTACAGAATAACGTTACGGCGGGGGTCAAAAATTTCGTGACGTAATAAACGCTCCCTTACCAGAGAAGGCGTTCAGATCAATGGTACTAAAGGAAGTTAAGATATTAGTATAGCAAGAAAATAAATGTATAGAACAGAAATTAAACAGGCTTCATTATTATAAATAATTACATACTTTGTATGTACGGCAATATGACGTACTAAATGCACTTTTACCACATAATATACTTGAGAAATGAACGTATACTAATTACTCAACTGGCTTGACATTTTTGTCCTAATGTCTCGGGGAATATAGGCTGTATTACCCGTTAATAAGATCTAGATTGGTATGCAATTATTAATACGAATTATAGCGAATTGATACCATTTGTAAATGCTTGGTTTGATTTGAGAACGGAAGCGATTCAATTATTTAATAAAGGATTTTTTAATCTTTTATTATACAAATATAGAACAGTGAAAGGAGGGCAACTGCCGGCCTTATTGCTTTTGAGCGATCTCTTCCAGGCAACCTCTGTAAGAAACAATTTAGATAAGCTCAAGACGTGCAAAACTACATAAGACATATTTATATAAAACTAATGGAAAGCAAAGCAATTAAACATATAAACAGTGAAAGGGACCATAATAAAAAAGGACACATGAATCACGATAATTTCAGATTAGTTAGTGCGAAAGTTAAAGGTTTTTGTTATTTTAGCTAATTGTAAAAAATGGTCAGGGATTAGTAAAAATGAATGTATAGAGTGTAATATATGTGATATCATTTGTATTCTACCAAATTTAAATCTAGTTTCATCAGCTGTCAAAGTTTCTGTATAAAAGTTTGACATATTGAACTACAGTTTGATACATGTGATATAATTTGTATTTTAAACAAATTTAAATCTAGTTTCATCAGCTGTCAAATTGGACAGCGCTCAAGATGATCGTGTCACGAGTTAGAATGTGGATCTTAGATTATAATTCATTTTCAAGTATGTCAAATACAAAACATGGTTTGACAGTTCATGAGACTAGCTTTTAATTTGATTGGCGTTCTATGATAGTATATACAAGTTGGTGCAATTGAAATAGGTGTTTTTTGTAATATTTATGCAAAGTTCAAGTTGTCAACTAATATTTTTTATATGAAATAGTAAAGCGTATTAATCTAAGTTTGTCAATTGACAATATAAATCGCCTTTTGCCGATGACATGTTCCATACAAAATTTTTTGACACAAAACTGGTTCCGATATCAAAACTTGATTCGGTCAAGATTACAAAAATGGTCGCTCGGCTTGTTGCAATATGCGATGCAAGTAGCAACAGAAATATGTATATATGCTACATTTAATGCATATATAAGTTTATATCTTACTCTACTATACTTTTTTTATACAAAATGGTTACCATGGTAACATACTTCCAGGGTTTATTATAAGGTTATAAGTCTCAGATACACTAATGCAGCGGGTATATACAGTGTAAAGCCAACAAACCATCTAAAGCGTCGAAATCACTCGGTTGGTTTAGCTTATTTTCCATACAAAGATACACATCCATACAATGATAGCATTACAGCCACACTCAATAGCGACAATTAAATAATAAAAAGTACTTTTTAAGTTGCCGAAATAAGTTAAAACTGCGGAACTGTGTACGTTGTTTTGGCGCTTTATTGATGCAGCAAAAGACGTCAGGCGAAAATAACAGACTATCCGCAATAGCGTTCGAATAATAATTGTATTTTATGTTTTACTAACAGTAGAAATAAACTTTTTCTTTTTCTAATACAGATTTTTCTTCTTTCTATTTAACGACAACTCTTTGTAACGTCAAAATAAGCACAGGTTTGAGTGTCGTTATATAGACTCTGCACTGTATTTATTTCTTTTTTCTTATGATTTGTCTAGGTTTAGGGTCCTCTGTACCACAAAGTACTACTGTACTGTATAAGTGTGAAAGTGTGTATATAGGCTATATATATATAGCTAAACTATGACGATTCATAATTAGATTTTAATAAATATATATTTTAATCAGGTTCGTGGTGGCAGTACCGGAGTGCCGCCGCCAGCGCCGCCCGCCCATGATACGGAAAAGAGATCGCCTCTACTGCCGCAGCATCAGCAACAACCTAGGCCTGCACCGGTGCCGGTTGTAGAACCAGGTATTACTTGATTTTTTTTTTAATTATCTCCCGACTTTGTGGAAGGATTACTCCAGCGTTTTGGTCTTGTCCGTTTGATAATGATTATAGACAAGTAGGTGATCTGTAGGGAATATCCACATGAATGCTCGTCAAAATCGGTTCAGGCTTTTAGGAGTTTTTTTATTATATATTATATTATTTCCTTCTCTGAAGTTCCACGAATATTTCAAGGACAAAATTAGCCAAATCGGTCCGGGCATTCTCGACTTTGCGAGACAAACGATTTCATCATTTATGTATAGATATATAAATATAAATAAATCAGCCTGCTAAATTATATTTGTTCGTTCATGTGTGATGTGCCGTTAGAGGAATATGTGAAAATTCATCATTAATGATATATCGTTTAGTTCCAGAACCGCCACCGCCTGTTGTAGTGAAGCCTATAGTGGTAAAAGCAGTGAAGAATGTCAAAATCAATCAAAAGGTATGTTTTTTAATTACAGTGTAACCTCTTTATAACGAATTTAAAGGGACCGAGCACCTGTATACGTTATAGAGAGATTTCTTTATAGGGAAGGAAGAATTAATGTATGGGTATTGGGTTTATCGCATGAAGTTTAACAGATTTTACGTTATAGAGAGGTTTCGTTATAGGGAACGAATAATTAATGTATGGGTTTAACCCATGAAGTTTAACAGATTTTACGTTATAGAGAGGTTTCGTTATAGGGAACGAATAATTAATGTATGGGTTTAACCCATGAAGTTTAACAGAGTTTACGTTATAGGGAACGAATAATTAATGTATGGGTTTAACCCATGAAGTTTAACAGAGTTTACGTTATAGAGAGGTTTCGTTATAGGGAACGAATAATTAATGTATGGGTTTAACCCATGAAGCTTAACAGAGTTTACGTTATAGGGAACGAATAATTAATGTATGGGTTTAACCCATGAAGTTTAACAGATTTTACGTTATAGAGAGGTTTGTTAACACGAATGTCGCTATAAAGAGTGTACATTGTATATATTGTCGACTCTTGATAGGTTGACACTCGATAATTTGATTTTTTCCCTGTCCCCTGAAAATATATACAGTCAAAACCGTTTACCACTACACCGTTTAGAACATACCGGTTATATTGACCAAAATCAAAGGTCCCGGCTGAATTCTATTGTATTAGGTAAATAACAATGCCATCGGCTGTTACGACTATAAAGTTCATAACCTTATAAAGAAAAATTATAGAACCTTAATCTGAAATATGAATAAAACTTGTTACTTTGAACTCTTGGTACATATTTTGAAATTTTAGCTGTGGTCCCATGAGTTTCAAATTATCGAGAGTCGACTGTATATAAACTCTAGATATTTGGTCTATGGAGCAGCTTTAAGGTTTTATGTTAAGTTTTTTGCCAGAAAACGAACCTAGGAGGTCATATTAATATTCTTGAGTTAATACATATTTCAAAATATATAACATAAGTGATTAGTGCGTCAGGGAATATAATTATGTTTATCGAACAACATATTGTAGCGTGCAAAAACACGTTTCCATTTTGTTCTGTGTAATGGCGTCTAGTGATGTATAATTGTCGATAAATGGAAAATAAACTTAACGGTAATGATAACTGTCGATAAATCGATGAGTAATTTTGATTAATAAGATCGTTAGGTTTCATTCTTAAGTAGTTAGGGATTTCCTAATCGTGTATAAACGTAGACCAATAGGGACTTTAGGCCATAACTTCCAGCTGTATGTATTAATAAATAAAACTATACATTGTTAAGGTCATAATAATAGATTACCTTTTATTTAAAATACCTTTTGTTTTTTGGGGATAATACTTTTGCACCGCCGCCTATTGTATAGGATTCAGGTTACAGGTATCGAGCCTTACCCCGCTCTAGCGTCTATAGCCACAGTCAGTTTACCTCCGCGCGTCTCGGGTGTCGGTCGCGTGTCCGCATTATTCGAATTTCGAATGAAAATAGAACATTAATTTGAATTCCGAATTTAAACTTGTATAGTTCTATAACGTGCCAGTTGTGTCGCGCGTTAATTGTTGATAGTTACAGAGTGACAACAAGTGGAATTTTTGTTGGTGAATGTGTGTGTTATCAGAAAATTGTTTTCTACCAGATTTGTTCTGGTGATGGAATGTTTATATGGTTTATATATTACGCAGTAATTTGTTCACGTCTGGGTTTAATATTAATTGAAATAAATACAGCCTTAAACATTGCATCGCAAAAAAATGTTATAAAATCTAAATCCCGAATACACTGACTCTTAAGTACCGTACTCGTAAGTTACCTGTAGGGCGTAAATTTATTGATTTATTAACGTACGTAATATATAATGTATTTGCTACAGTATATGTTACAAGCTAGTCTAAAATACATAACAATTATGGTGAACATAAATTTTGCGAAAAATAATAAAAATATTTTTACGAGTAATTTTTTGCTAAACAATGCGACAGGTACCAGATAGCAACTTAACAAAGCTGTTTCGATCAGCCCACTACCGAATATATCAAGCTCTGAATAAGTGGTGTTTTATCTGTTATACTCGCGAATCCATAGAGGTGTCTATAAAGCAAATTTATCAACATAAGATACATATATAATTAGTGTATTTGATATTAGCACGAGTTAAGTTCGGTGGCGGTTTTTGTATGGATATCTATACTAATATTATAAAGAGGAAAGGTTTGATTTTTGTTTGTTTGAAATGAATAGGCTCCGAAACTACTGGACCAATTTAAAAAAATTCTTTCACCGTTGGCAAGCTACGCTATTCCCGAGTGAAATAGGCTATGTTTCATTTTCAAAAAAATTAGGGATGCTTACTAAAACTTGAATAATCTAACCCAAGGTGTAAAAAAATAAACAAAAAAACTTCCTTCAATCGTGTGCGCTGCAACTATTAATGATAGAACAAAATGATGTATTAAAATTTTTCAGGACACATCACTATCTATAAAAAATGTCGCGACAGCATGTCTCTATCTTTTATGGTTACGTCACAATAAGCGTCCTTTTATAAAAAAAAATTTAATTAAAATACCACCGCTAGAAAAGGCTCTTTATTCATACCTAGGTATTGATCCTTATCAAAATAATGACCAACGTTTCACATAAGCTACAATTTAATGGCATAACCACCAAAAAGGCATGGTGGATTGGTGTTCTCCTGCCGTTTCTCTTGAATAGTTTACTACTATGTAATATAACAAAAATCTTAGCCACAGCAACGCCTGGCCGAGTCTACTAGTGTTCAAATAAAACACTTTATTTGAAGCAACAACTGGTTTTAATTGTTAAAAATATGAGCTTATAACTAAGATAACATTAGGGGTAGTGGGGTTGCGACGATAACAAAAACTTACTTGGCTTATCTAAGGGTTCACAATTAATCTAAACGACACTTATGTTATTGGGCATTATCGGAAACGAGATAGTTAAAATACAATTTATGAGTGTGGTCAATACTAAAGGGCTCATTTTGGCTTCAAGAACATTTGGTTTACGCTTCTAATTATTTACTAAAGTATATATATGTAACTTAATTAATGTTAAGTTACATAACACGCGTATTTTAGTAGTGAAATCGGTCCAGTAGTTTTGAAGTTTAAAAGAGATACAATAATCGGATGTTTGAAGTATTTAAAAATATATAATAAACTAGCTGACCCGGCAAACGTTGTTTTGCCATGTGTATTATTTCCAGGAAACATTTTTTTAGTTCAATAAAAATAACTATTTACTGTAATAAAAAATAGGGGTTGATCGTAGAGGGGTAAAATTTGAGGGTTGTATGTATTTTTGTAAAACTTAAAAAAAAATCTAAAAAAATTGGGGTGGACACCCCCTATCACTTAGGTGTTTGAAATATATATAGTAGCCGATTCTCAGACTTACTGAATATGCATAAAAAAATCTTAAGAATCGGTCGAGCCGTTTCGGAGGAACGAACATTGTGACACTAGAATATTATATATTATATAGAGATTAATTATTGTAGTGGTTATTTTTGAAATGCTTACGAGTCTAGGCAATAATGTTTTAGCTAGATTAAAAAAATACTAAAGATTAAATGTCATGCTGAATGGGGCAGCTGGTTTATGCTAGAAAATCATTCATTTCACCTCAGGTGTTTTCGTGATATTTGTGTCGATAAAAGTTATTGTTTGTGGAATTTAACGGATTAATTTATATTTAAAAATGCATTTTTATTCTGGGGTACAGTGTAGACAGATTATTTGCATATAAATATACGTTCGGTCGAATCAAAGGTCAATATTAAAAGTTACGATAAAGGTCAAAACGGTATGTATCGTGTTGAAACTAGTTATTACAAATATTTTGTACTTGTTATATATGTAACAAGTATCTCTAGTTTGAAAAAAAAATAAAAAGGATTTTAATAATTGGGAGAAAAAGTTTTGACTTAAAATCTTTTTTCGAGTAAAAAGATCAAAACAGAGAACAAATGTAGACTTATTTGTCTTTTTAAATTAAAATCCAAATAATAATCTTAATATATATAAATTACGTGTCACGTTGTTTGTGCGCTATGGACTCCTAAGCTACTGAACCGATTTCAATCAAATTTGCACACCGTGTGCAGTTTGATCTAACTTAAAAGATAGGATGGCTTACATCTCAATTTATACCCGCAATATTATTTTATTGCAAATTATTTGTTTATTATTTGATATTAAATTACCAACGTTTCACATAAGCGACAATTTAATGGCATAACCACCAAAAAAGCATGGTGGTCCCCATGACTAGTGTTCTCCTACCGTTTCCCTTGAATAGGTTACTACTACGTAATATAACTAAAACCTTAGCCACAGCAATGCTTGGCCGGTCTGCTAGTAGACTATAGAATCAAATACATATCAAGAACCTTAGGAAAAACAGTATTAGAAATTCAATGTTGTTTTCGCGTCATGCTCTGATTGAAAATTATTAATATAAAACATATCGTGACTCTTTGTTATGTGTTTTGTTTATACATAATATATATGCGTGGTATGTTAGGTACATATTATTGATCATTTCATAGCCTTACAATGAAGTCGCCTGGTCATGTCGTGTATGAACGATAAACTCAAAAACTATAGAATGATTTTTTGTAAGGTAAAAGTGATCCTTGAGGAAGGTGAGAAGTACAATCCTACAACGCGGTCAAAGTCTACCGCGTTATAGGAAATCGCGTTGTAGGGGTATTATCGTAAAACAGTTTTTTTAAACAATTCAAGAACTAGGTAGTTTTATTTTATAAGAACACAATTGAAACTGGTGCCCTTTACGCAAAACTGGCTTGGCAAATCATTATAAATTTCATACTACAGAAATATAAATTAAGAAATATCCGCGTTATATGGGGGACGGAAATCGTGTTATACGTAACCGCGTTATAGGGGAATAACTGTATATGATTATTTTCTATGTATTGATTGAAATTTAATGACTATTTTTGAACAATCATGTCTATTTACTGGAAATGCAGTGAAGCTGTGATTAAAAGAATACGTTTTTGTCTTGATACAGTTTTAGGTCTATATTTTATCATAGATAACTTGAATAACATTGTATGTAATATGTAAAACATTAATAATATCGTATTTGATATATAAATATCGTATTTGAAATATAAATATCGTATTTGATATAAATATTACTATTCCGCACTTTAGATAAAAGCGATTATTTTTACAAAGGATATAAGGTTTTTAAAATTCAATGGAACCCAAACTGTACATCTAAATACTTGATTATTAATAGAACTTGGCCAAACATCAACATTACTTCGGAAATTTGTATACAATGTTGTCATCTAAACACAGTCTGTTACGAGTTTACCGCAAAAATGTGCTGACACATAGTCCAAAACACATTTATGAATAAATCTCAAAACGAACTACAGACAAAACCGTTTACGACGACATCCTTTAGAACAACATACCGGTTATATTGACCAAAATCAAAGAATCCTGAATTCTATTGTATAAGGTTCTTAACAACGTCATCGGCTGTTACGACTATCGGTTTTTACGACCAAATATACATATATATATATACTAGCGGACCCGACAGACGTTGTCCTGCATGATATTTCAAGCGATTAGGATATTAAACAAAGTATGAAAGTACCAACTGCAGCGCCATGTGCCAGGCTGATTTGTGAATATAAACCATCCAGGGCTCCACCCAAACGCATACAAATCATTCAAATCGGTCCAGCCGTTTGAAAGGAGCTCAGTGACATACAAACGTACAGTAGAATTATATATATATATATATGTATGCTTTCCTATCTTTTAAGTTAGATCAAACTGCACACGGTGTGCAAATTTAATTGAAATCGGTTAAGTAGTTTAGGAGTCCATAGCGGACAAACAACGTGACGCGTAATTTATATATATTAAGATATAGCCCACAAAAATCTGATTATTTATCTACAAAATCTTGCCAACGCTCGGTACACTCTTACTTGCATAAGGTAAATAAAATACAAGATTACCGTGACAAGTACTTAAGCAAACAACAGTCACGAAGAGAAAAAATACAGAGATTCATGAACTATTAAAACCAAATGAAAATTGATTTCAAAGTGCGGAAGCAACTATGGATATCCAGAGCTCGTTTATCAGAATGCTATATGCAATCTGCATATCCGTGAGTTTTGGCCAAAACGCCTTCTTTTAACGAATTATGTAGAAGACTTGAAAAATATTGTATAAAATTATTCGTGATACATGAAAATAGTAATTTTGAAAATATTACTAAAAATAAAGTAATAAAAATTTCATAAGATGTGGAATTGTGCAAAATGTTACGAATCGGACCGGTCTAACAGGTGAACGTAAATGACGGACATATTAATTATATATGCGTTTTAATTATGCGCTGATGTTGTATTTGTCAGGTAAATTATATATAGTCTGCTGTTTTGGACGCATTGATTTGGTTGAAAAACGTCTAC